CAATTCTGACCATCCTTTAAAATCAAAGTGGCTTGGTGCTGGTGGTGCACACCTTTTATCCCAGCATTGGGGACAGAGGCAGGCAGAGCTCTGTGTGTTCAAGGTCTACACAGTGAGTTCCAGGACAGCCAGGGCTACACAGAGAAACCCTGTCTTGGAGGAAAATTAAATCAGTGTTATTTTGTGGATTACGCAAGCTGCCAGCTCCAGTATGGCCTTTGCTCAGTCATGGTCAGTAGGGTAACTAAAAATCTCAGGCGGCCATTCCCTTACTCCTTTTCTACAGGTTCACATCGTTCTATTTTGTTTTGCATTTGCTGTGATTTGTCTCAAATTATTTACTTAGCAAGTAATTACTGACAGTCCTTGGGATGGAGGAGTCCGGCACCAGGGAAAGGGGAGATAGAAACAAAAGAAGTGGTAAGAGGGGACCAAGCACCGTAAGAGCCAAGGGATGGACACAACTCTAAATCTCTCCTAACCATGAAGTATGGGGGACAAGAGGAGTCTACTCCTCCTTGAGCTGTGGCAGAGTTGTGGAAGCCACAGGAGAGGTGTTGGAACAGGCAGAGCCGACATGCTGAGGTGCAGAGTCACATTCTAAGGCAACAGGAAGCATTTTCTACATAGGGAAGATGCAAGTTTTGCTCTAAGAAGATTGCAATGGGGCCATGGGAGGGGATAGCAGATGCAGTGATGTCCTCTGTAGTATCAGCCAGCACATCTACAGAACACAGACCATGGAGCAGGTCACCTACTGCATATCTTGCAGCAGGAAGAGCTTGTCCCTGTAGAATCTGAATAGTTGTCCCTCAATCTGTTGGCATGTTCCATTGTGACACACCCATTCAGAGTTCTTAGACCAGGGATGACTCCTACATGTCTGAAAAACAAACCCTCAAGACCCCTTCCCCAGGTGACTCCTCTCTAGCACTGGTCCAGTTACACCAGACTTTCTTGACAGTTTTATAGCTGGTGTATTTTCTGGAGATGCAGCTGAGCCTGTATTTGGACTGTTCAGAGACTGACTGACTGACTGTGTTCTTGTGGTGTCTTCTTGGGCCACCACATCTGAGACTTTCACCCCTTCTCTCTGATGATCTGCAGTTCATGCACGGCCATCCCCAGTGGGCTCATCTTGGAGGAGGCTGAATTGAGTCATGACTACGTGAGTTTCATGTTATAATGTTCTTGGAAGTGCAACTCTGGGCCCCAGGGCCATAGCACATGATTCTTGCAAAGCCTTGATTAAAGCAGGTCTCTCTGCCCTACATGTGGCAACACTTGCTGTTTTCTCCTTGCTAAGTTCCCTAGTCCCATGAATGCATCTTAGTCCTTATTAGAAAGAAGGTTCAGGGTCATCCAAAAATCTTAATCAAAACAAGTTTCCAGAGAATACTACTACTATTGCTACTTTTTTTTTTTTTTTAAAGGACTTTTCTGGGCAGTGGTGGCCCGCACCTTTAATCCTAGCATGTGAGAGGTAGAAACAGGGGTATCTCTGTGAGTTCGAGGCTAGCCTAGTCTACAAAGCGAGACCCAGGACAGCAAGAGAAACCCTGTCTCAAAAAACAAAACAAGGGAAAACATTCTTTTAAAAATGCAGGTACCCAAGGAGTCCAGAAGAGAATGCTAGGTCCCCTGTGGCTAGAGTGTCAGGCAGGCACTTGTGAGCCACCTAATATGGATGCTGAAAATCGAACTCAGGTCCTATGCAAGAGAAGTATATACTCTTATTAACCACTGAGACATCTCTCCAGCCAAGAAAATTTTTTGTTGTTTTGTTTTGTTTTGTTTTTTGATTTTTTCGAAACAGAGCTTCTTGTGTAGCCCTGGCTGTCCTACAACTCGCTATAGACCAAGTTGACCTCAAACTCACAGAGATCCACCTGACTCCACCTCCCCCGAGTGCTGGGATTAAAATCAGGGGTGTGCCACCACCCCATGTCTCTATCTCTTTTTAAAAATATCATTTTGTATGTATGTATAATGTGTGTGTAGGAGTGTGCATATCACAGCATATGCATGGCATGCATGGAGGTCAGAGGACAATTTTTATAGAGCTGTTCTCTCTTCCCACCTTTATGTGGGTTCTGGGAATTGAATTTCAGTTGCCAGGTTATGTCATTGGGCAGCAACTGCCTTTACCTGCTGAGCCAACTCACTGGATCCTCCATCTTATTTTTGAGACAGGTTCTAAAGCTGGAACATTGACACTGAACCTGGAGCTTTCCCTTCTGGTTAGACTGGTTGGTAATGTGTGCTTTTCTTCTTCCCCAGGACCTTCCTGTCCCCTTCCTTTACAGTTACAGGCTCACGCTGCCATGTCTGGCTTTTATATGGGTTCTGGAAATGTGAATCAAGGTCCTCATGTTTGTATGGCAAGCATTTTACCCACTGAGCCACCTCTCCAGCCCTATCAAATTAAAAAAAAAAAATGTTCCTTAGCATGCACAGACAGGAAGAGAGACTTGGGGAAAGGAGAGCAGGTGGGTAGCAACTGGCTCCTGCTGACTGGCCAACTTTCTTCTTATTTTCCCACCCTCTTGACATCTTTCTTTCTGCTTGGTCTTGTTTCCTTAGGCTTCATATCCTTCTTTGTTTATCACTTATTGTTTTAGAAGACGTGAGCTGGCCACCTGTATACCCAGTCTGCCTCAGTTCCAACCTCTTCTCAGTTTTGAAACAAGCATAAAAAATTCCTTTGGCTGTTAAACATGCCCAAAGACATGAGAACGAGGACACAGACCGAAAGCATTTCTGTAGACATTAGACAGAAGCTCCAACTGCTTACTCTATTAACATGAATGTCTGTAGCATGACGCTGTCAACAGAAGCCTCACTCTTCACTGGTAGGAACGCTGCCTCTAGTAAGCAGTTAGTACAATGAAATGAGTGTGTATGTGTATGTTTGTATGTGTGTGTGTATGTTTGTCTCCTAGAACTTGCTCTGTAGACCAGGCTATCCTTGAACTCAGAGATCCACCTGCCTTTATTTCCAAAGTGCTGGGAATAAAGACTTGAGACACCATACCCAACTTGAAGCACAAATTTTAACAGCTTTTCATGTATGAAAAATTCCACAAAGTACCACAATCTTTATGGGTATGAGTTTTAATATTTTAGGACAAGATGGGGGAAAGCAACTTTCAGTTTCTACTTTCAGTGAGGATGAGATAACAATGGTTATCTTTTAGAAAAGTCAAAGCTGCTATTGTCCCATCCTTCCAGTCTCTGTCTCTCTGTCCCTGACTTGTTTGTCTGTCTCGATGCTGCTCTTTGCTCTGGAATCACACAGGGCCCTCATGATTTTGTCTTCCAAGGTAAGCAGTGGTGGTTTTGTGAGTGAAGGGAACATTCACAACCTACAGATGTCAATATGCAGGGCTGTAGAGGAACAGCAGCAGGGGTTCTACTTAATCAGAGCTTTTGATAAACCCGAGGGGCTAGTGTTTGGCCTAGACCAATAAAAGTTATGGGAGAGCCCCGAGCTTTAAATACAAGAAAGACCTAGCTAGATGGCTGGAGGAGGGTGCTGCTTGGGAAAGAAGTGGGATTTGTCTGTGGTAGGGACAGTATGGGATCCCTGTGTTCTATGACCTTCCCCAGGCCTCTGTTTCTGCCCTGCCCTGCCCTTTTCCACTCTTGCTCCCACAGCTGAGCTAAGCCCCATAACCCCACAGGCCTAGTGAGTCCCTGATTCTAGGCGGCAGTGTGCAAAGCCTCTACCCACCAAGACCTACAGATCTCTCAGTGCTGTCTTCTCTATCAAGCAACAGTGTCCTCATATCCTAGTTGACACAGTCTGGGCAGAAAACTGAGACGTTCCTATGATAGGAACCCGACAAGGTCAAGCCACTGTCATTACTTAGGATAGTCAGAGCCAGACATGGTGGTACAGTACTCAGGAGGATAAAACAGGATGACGGTTAAGACTTCAAGGCTGGGGAGGGAGGGAGAGGGAACTGGGATCGATATATAAAATAAAAATTAAAAAAAAGTTCAAGGCTGGGTGTTGGTGGCACACGCCTTTAGTCCCAGCACTCAGGAGGCAAAGGCAGGCGTATCTCTTCGAGTTCGAGGACAGTCTGGTCTACAGAGCTAGTTCCAGAACATGTTCCAAAGCAATACAGAGAAACCCTGTCTCAAATAAACAAAAAACAAAACAAAAAAGAGTTCAGGGCCAGCCTAGCCTACACAGTAAGATCTAGTCACAGAAGCAAATGAACAAACAGTAATCAAGGCATTTTGTATCACTCTTCATTGAACACTCGTACATGTTTACCAGCTAGCAGCTCCTGACTCACTTCTCCTGCCCTTTGTGTGGTGGCAGGCCACGAAGAGGAAGGAAGGCACAGAACACAGGCTGGTGGGGTATGGTGGGGCGAGGGAAATTCTGAACCTGGATGTTTCTCCTGAGAAGTTAAAGGAAATCAAACATCAAAACCAGTCCTGAGTCAGGACCCAACCTGGCTGTGCTTGTTGAGTGTGGGCTCTAGGTCACCCTGATCTGAAAGGAGGAAACTCTGCTCCCTCTGATGCAGAGCCATGGGTATGAAAACTCCCCAACAGGGATTTCAACCAACAAATGGCACTCTTCTAGATATAATTTAAGAACTATCTGTTTTTACTTCAAATGAATTAAACATTTATAAAAGTCAAAGGTTAACTGAACTCAGTTTAACAAATTGATGGCTGGTTCTGTCTGGGACTGGGAAAGCTGCCTTCCAGGTATGGGGACTGTAGAGGCCATACTGGCCCTGATAGCAGGCCTGATGCCCAGAGATTGATAGGACAGGACCCTCAGTACTGTCTTCTCCTGAAACTACCCAGAGTCATAGCCTAGCTGCAACCTCTAGGTGCAAAGGCTGCAAGACATAAGAAAGCTGACACAAAGTAGCTCAGCTTCTATCCTAGGAGGACAGCACTAAAGGACAGGGGCATAGTCTGCTCCTGAGGGCTCAGATATAAGCTATTAACATATTCTCTCCTCTCCGCAGGCTTTGTGTTGGTCATCGGACTGGTGACCTTCTACAGAATTGGTCCTTACACCAACTTATCTTGGTCTTGCTACCTGAACATTGGTGCCTGCCTCCTGGCCACCCTGGCAGCTGCGATGCTCATCTGGAACATTCTTCACCGGAGGGAGGACTGCATGGCACCCCGGGTGATTGTCATCAGCCGCTCTCTTTCAACGCGGTTTCGCCGTGGCTTGGATAATGACTATGTGGAGTCTCCATGCTGAGAAAACCCTTATTGGGACTTTCTCTATGAATAACTACTGTAATGTCATAGTCGAGAAACCAATAGCCTGTCCCAGGCTCTGCTTGTGCAGAGATGTGTGGCAAGTCTGGGTTATCTATATATACATATGTATGATACTTATGTACATTTATTATGTTACATATGAATATATTATGTGTCTATATGACATGTGTGCCATCCTACTTCTGACACACTCTTCCTTGGCCAGCACAGCATGGCTTCATATGCAGGTTTTAAAGGTGGAAACTAGATGTTGAGGCAGGGAAGGAGGCAGTGTGGGCACCTTGCTCTCCACCTCCATTTGGGGTTAATTTATTCTGCATCTACTAAGATGGCATCCCTGGTTACTTTTATAAAGCAGAACATCCATCATGAAGGGTCTTAAAACCCTTGAATGAAACAGAGCTCACTACAGGTGGTAATGGTTTATGTCAGAATCAGGTCAGCAGTGTACGTTTGTTTACTCCTGATTATTTGTCTAAGTTAAAATACACACAAGCTTTTAAACTGTGTCTAAAACTTGTGTTTTATAAACTCCATCCATATTTCTACATTTCTCTGAGACTTTGGTGAGTTGACATTAAAAAGGGCTGAAAAGACTTCATTAAGGATCCAGAGGAGCACATACCCCAATTGAAGGTTTGTGCAACCCAGAAGTCCACATCTGTGAAATCCACTTTCCTGCACCCTGAAAACTGAACTGTCACAGCAGGTCAACAAACAGGATGGAAAGATGAAATCCGATAGCTTTTCCCAGGGAACCTTTAGCCTCCCTCCAGGTAGGGCAGGATAAGCTATTGAATACCTCCGGAGACCATGCTGCTTTGAAAAATGCTGGATCCTTAGTCTGTGGCTCCCCAGAAAACATATCAAATATGTACCTCTGGGGTTAAAAACGGCCCACAGAACCCAGAGCTGCCTGCCCACATCATCTGTGACCAAGGTCCTGGTGCACCCTTGCTAGATAGCTCGTCATGGCCACCCGGAGGCAGGAATCACTGATGGCATATGCAGCAAGAGGAAACTGGCACTATCAGAACATGAAAGCCAGGAGTGAGCTGCCCTCCTCTTGCTGCATCTCCTAATAAATGTCAAGTTTGTTGTTTTCATTCTTCTAGTGACTAAGGTTGATCAGTTTACATTCTGAAGCCCATCCTGTACCAAAGCTTTATCTTTAGTCAGAACAAACAGTGAAACACGTGAAGAGACTGATAATGACATATAAGCCATTTACAGATTGGCCATATGCAACACACAGCACACTGTAGAAATGAGCAAGTACATGTCTATGGTACAGCACACAGATTCAAGCATTTGGCTATGACTTCCTCCCACCTGCTCTCCCTATAAGACATTTTTATTTCTAGCCATACACTAATGTTACGTATGTGCTGATACACGTTAGTATTGTGTGTATGTCTACATGAAGTACATTAAAGGTCTAAAAGTGGCCATGTAGTCTGTTTCAGGCTGTGGTCATGTCCACAGTAATTGAAAGCTATCCAGGAAAGACTGGGCTATGATGATGTTCAGCCTTGCTTGTCACTCCAAATCAAATGTCTACATGGCCAGTATGGGGGAAAAACCACCTAACTACAATAAAACCAGGCTTCAATAGTTTTCAAAGACAGTAGATGAGGGTTCCACAATGCCCTGAAAAGTGCAATCTGTGCTACAAAATAATCAGTGTAAGTAAGCTGAGGCAGGGGATTTACTCCAAGCATTACTTTTCTTTTTCAAAAATATATAATTTATTTTTATTTTATGTTTACTGGTGTTTTGATTGCATGCATGCCTGTGTGAAGGCGTCAGAAGCCCTTGTACTGAAGTTACAGACATGAATAAGCTGCCCTGTGGGTGCTGAGAATTGAACCCAGGTCCTCTGGAGAGCAGTCAGTTCTCTGAACCATCTCTCCAGCCTCAGGCATTTATTTTCATACTTTTCCTTTCTCATAGTATAAACTCTTCCACATTTTATTTTACCCTTTTAAATGATAATCTGTCAAAAACTCTTGCTAAGAATTCTGAATTCTCTCAGAAATGGAGAAAGTATTTGTAAACATCCCTTACTGGTTTTTTTTTTTTTTTTTTTAAGACAGGGTCTTTCTTACTCAATATCACAGACTGGCCTGGAGTTCACTACACAGTCCAGACTAGCTTCAATCTTACAATAATCTTTCTACTTCAACCTTTTAAAAAAACTTTTAAAAAAAAATTTTAAAAATTGTTATTATTATTATTATTGTTTTTCAAGACAGAGTCTCTCTGTGTAGCTTTGGAGTCTATCCTGGAACTAGCTCTGGTAGGCCAGGCTGGTCTTGAACTTACAGAGACCTGCCTGCCTCTGCTTCCCAAGTGCTGGGATTAAAGACATGTACCGCCACTGCTTGGCTTAAAAATATTTATTTATTTATCTGCCCTGCTTAAAAAGATTTATTTATTTATTATGTATGTAGTATTCTGTGTGTCCCTGTAGGTCAGAAGAGGGCACCAGATCTCATTATAGATGGTTATGAGTCACCATGTGGTTGCTGGGAATTGAACTAAGGACCTCTGGAAGATCAGTTAGTGCTTTTAACTTCTGAGCCACCTCACCAGCCCCCTACTGCAACTTTCTAAAAGCTGGGATGATCAGAACAAGCCAGCATATCTAGATCACTGTAACTTCTTTCATAAAATTTAATTGTACTTCATTGATAGTTTTGGTGTTTATTTATCAATACTTTTGAGCAATATTTAGCACCTACAGAACTTTGGATAAGAATACTCTGAACACTTTAAAACAAATGAAAATGCTAAAGTATCGGCCTGGAGGCTCCCAGCACCACTGATATCAGGAGCCAGGCTTGCCTGCAACACCAAACAGTGTGCCAGATCCCATATCCTTGAGCATGGTGGCTATTGGTGGATATTTCACTGAATAGAAAAACTGTTAAACATTGTAATATGATCACAGAGGAGCTCTTAGCTTAAAATATAATTGATAAAGAAGGCATAAAAAGGCCTGCAAAGATAGCTTAGTGGTTAAGAGCACTTGTAGCAGAGTGTATGAACCCACATAATGGCTCACAATTACCTGTAACTACAGCTCCAGGGTACCAGATGCCTTCTGACTTCCTTAGGCACTAGGCACACATATGATTCACACACATATATGCAAGTAAAATACTCATATATATGTATGTATGTATGTATATGTGTATACATATATACATATATATACATATATACATATACATATATATACATATATACATATATATATACACATATACATACATACATACATATAAATCTAAGAAAGGTTGAAAGTTCTAGGTAGGACGCATGTCACCTTTGACACTTCAGTGAGTGGATGCCTTACCTTTTGATGAGTTTGATAGATTTGAAAGCTTCATCCATGTCCCCAATGGTGACAAAGAAGCTGAAGTTGAGCATGGCATCCCGAGTAGGCTTGTCACAGTCCTCCAGCCCCACAAAGTCTCGCAGGGGTCTCTTGGCTACCATCTGAGGGATGTGATAGTGTCCAGAATCCACCCTGTCTTCTTTCTCTGCTTCTCCAGGCTGAAGGACAAAGGCCCCATATGATTGTCAAGTAATATGTAAAGGCAATGCCTGCAATTAGTCTCACTTCCTCAAACAACCACTGGGAAATCTATTATGCAGGGAGGCATAGGAATATAGCTATAGGTAAAAGGGTTCCCATAGGGTCCTGAAAAACCTTTAATGTCACTGGAACTTATCAAAGCTTTGGGGCCTTGTTTCAGACAACAGGTTAAACAAAGGCTGTCCAGGTATAAACTTGTTTTGTCAGCCTCTAATTCAGTGATGTCAGTCTCACATTAAAAACAGCTCTTTCTGCTACCCTTTCCCAGTGTTTCAGTCATGGTAAAGACTTTTTACCAGCTTTAAGTCAAGTCAGACACACATGTATCTCTTAAAATTAAAGAGCACTAGCCTGCCTTTTCTTCAACAGGAGCTTCTGAGGAGCCCACTGCCCCTGCTGTGGCTCTTCTAATTCTCGAAGCCTCTGTATCTGTGCTTAGACCCTTCTCACCAGGACTGGAACTCCTTTCTCTCTGCAGGCCATTTGTATATTGTTATGTATTGTTATGTACACATAACATCTGGCACATATTTACCACCATGAGTATCCAAGTGGTGGCTTCAACCATCTCCTCCCCACCTCAACTATCATGAATGATTCAGCCTCATTGTTCTTTCTGAGTCTACCTGGAAGGCTCAGTGAGAAGACCCCAAGGAGAAACCAACACTTGACCTGGACTCTGAAAATATGATGAAATGTATCATGCCTCATTGTAGCTGGAAGCCCTTCTAGAGACAGCATATGGCATAAGCAAAGTTCTGTTGAGGGTAGCTTGAGTTTAGGTCCATGGAGAATGTATGTATGTATGTATGTATGTATGTATGTATGTATGTATGTATGTATGTATCTCAACTAGGTGACAGAAGAGTTTGGTTAACTGCGCACCAAGTTGGACACTGTCCTTTTTATTGTGTGAGCATCCTGAGGAGCCTCAGATTTCCCCAATCCCTGCTTATTCGCCATGCCTCTTTATTTTAGCTCCTTGTTACTGATCTCTGAGGCAGAACTGTTGTCTATGGCCACACTACCCTGCACACATCTGAACTTGTCTCATCTTGGGAGCTAAACAGGGCTTGAACCTCATTTGCATTTGGTCAGGAGGCAGAAACTGTTTATCCTATGTCATAGTAGATTGGTACAACCTGCCAGTCACATGGGAAGAGTGCTGGGAACTGGACTTTCTCAGATCTTCCTGGGGAAAGGGCTGAAGCACTCTATGTCAGAAAACAGAGTAAGAACAGCCTTTAAAGGAACACAGTGCCTTCTGGCTGGTCCTTAGCAGCACTTTGCAAGTTAAACTAATGATACTCCTTATATTGCAAACATAGGTCAACCAAGCATTTCCTATATCTGGTCATGTGAATGGCTGTGCATACCGCAGACTGTGCACTGTGCATACACCAGACTAAGAGCCAATGGGCTCCTGTCAAATTTCACTACGTCACATGGCTCCATGGCCAAGCAAAAAGCCCTACCTCCAGAAACATTTCCTATGTAGGTAAGCAAGGTAGGCAGGAAGTGCTGGCACACACACACTACAGCAAGAAGACAAGGGTCTCAGGGACATGACAAAACCAAGGTGAGAAGCCATAACCTAGGGCTTCATACTTACGACTGCATCATATATGCCTCTTCTGTGGAATAACAACTACGAGTGCAGGCACAGAAAGGGGATGAGAAAAAAAGGAAACATGCATAAATGTGTGGAAGAAACAAAAATCAAGAATATGAAATCAATGTGGAAAATTCAAGAGGAAGAACTTAAATGAGCTTTCCAAATTTTCTGTTTTCAGATAAAAGGGAAATCACACCAAAGAACACAAAACAAGAGTGGAAAGTCCTGCAAAAACATCAGTCTGGTGGTGGGATTCTATTTTAAAATAAAGGAATGAAGGACACCTGTACTGACAGAACAGGTACTCCCAGAACTTAGCTCATCACACAAACTTTCCCAGCTTTCACGAACATCAACTCCATTTTTATGGCACGTGTAACATACAAACTGCTCATACACCAACTTCTAGCGCTGTGCAATACTGCTGTATATGGTAACTTGGAAAACTAGAACCAACTGTCCTGGATTTGGTTTTATTTAAAATGTATCATTGTATGCTTGCAGATCTTAAAGCTAGAAGCCCCCAAAAGGCTGGCCACAATCACTGATCACAGATCCAGGGGCAGTATCCAATCCACCCTATTCTCTAAAGCAATTCCTTTTAGAGTAAATCACAGATCTAGAAAGAGCTGAGTGTGGCTTGCATACCTGTGACAGTCTAACAGTCCACATGGTACAATTTCATTAGCTTATATGGTTATGTGGAGGGGACTGCATAGCAGATATAGGCTTTTACTCTGTTCTGTCTCCCAGTGGCCTATCCTACTACTCACTTTTGACTACAAAAGTGACAATAGGCTAAGTCAGGCATGGTTGGATACATCTGTAATACTAGCAATCTCAGCCCTCAAGAGGCTGAAGCACAAGGACTAAATGTTTGAGTTCAA